CTTTTTTTTTTTTTTTGTTATATGTTTGTTTGCGATGAGATTATCCAAATTGCAAGTTGTAAGGGATTTTTGGAATCCTTTTCTTCATATTTCTTAAGTATTGTCTAAATGATTTTAATTATCAAAATGGAAAGAACATCACCGACGATGGAAAAAACAGAAGCAGTGATCGATGGGCAAAGAAGCAATTCTTAGTGGGTTTCCATTTGTTTGGCTGGAAAATTGTATAGTTTGGGTGTTTGAATGCTGAGAAAATGCTTTGAATCTGTTTGGTTACCGAGATTGGTTACCGAGAAAACTATAATGTCCGTTAAAGAAAAAAAATTTTGATGAGAAAATTGTGATTTAATTATAAATTAATTTAGAATCTCAATTTTGATTAATATAAATAATTATAGTTTAATGATGATTAATTAATAAGATTTGATTTGGTATTATTTTTTATTCATGTAAACATTTAATTTAATTTGTTACATTATTAAAAAAATATAAAAAATATCACTTAATTGGCCATGTTATCAAAAGATATCTTTCTTTATTGGTGATGTGAGGCTCATTTGAGTGGATTTGGTACCATGTCATCAAAAGACATATTTCTTTATTGGTGATGTGGGACCTATTTGAGTGGATTTGGTGCTTTTGAATGACGGTAACATAACATGTCAAAACGTTTGTCTATATCATCACTTTTTAAAATTTTGCTCTCCATATCATAAAAAAAATATATAAAAAATGCCACATAAGTGGAGTTAATGGCCCAAATTAACAAAATGACTAACGGTGTACATTTTTTAAAGTTGAAGGATCAAAAAAGTGCAAAAAATTGTTGAGGGATCAAAAATGTGCATTTCTTAAAGTTGAGGGACCAAATTTAGCATTTAACCTTTTTTTATGAAAGTGTTATTATTGTAATATGTATTATAATTATCTTCTTAAAATAAGGAAAAAAATTAAACATATTAAATAACTCTTAAAAATTAATATTGACCAATAATATTTTGTCCATCGCAAATTAACAAGTAGGAGAACTATATTGAACGAGGGAATAATAGTTTGGCAAAGTGCAAACTGAAGCGAATGAGCCTTTTGCTCCCACTGTTCCTTGTTTGTATCTTGTAATCTTGAAGAATCAAATTTCTTGTATACGAACCGTTACACAAATATATACTTGAACTTTACAAGACAACGCGAATTATGATGGACTGAAATCTATATAAACGTTCAGCGGCTATTTGACACAACTTCTGAAAAAAATTTCGTTGTTGCAGAGATGATGCAACGGGGTCAAGTGTGTGTACTTTACTTAACATGTATAGTGTTTGTTTTAAATGAATTTTATACCATTGTAATTGGTTTAATTAAAAATTTGTTTATTTAATTTTATGATTTGAATTCCACACCATATATAGTGTGTGGCTTGATTAAAAATTTATGAAATTCATTTGCAATTCTACACTTCCTATATTTGGTTTAATTTAAAAGAATGGAATTCAGTTACAAACTTTGAAACCGGTGGTACCAAAAAAAAAAAATCTAAAAAATAATTTTGAAAGAAATCATCGCCGAAGAGAAGAAATGGTTACTGATCAAAGAAAAAAAATGAGAAAAAATTATCCTTCTTTTTTTTTTTAAATATATAAATGTTGATAATAATTAATCTTCTTGTCACATCCAAACAGCTAGGTATAAGATTTGCTTTTCTAAAATTGAGCAGCTTATCTCCTAAGATGCTTTCCTTAAAAAAATGGTCCATTTTAATGCTTGTTTGTTTATCTTTTTGGGAAGTTCTTGAAAGAAAATCTATCCCCTCCTAGAGTACTACTCTAGCTTCGCCATTTTGATGAAACAAAAGTGTTATAGAAAAGCGTGTGAACTGTGAACATGCCATATGTGCCCATATTTCTATAAGAAATTGGCCTAGAATCTGTGCTTGTTTCCACTATTACTGCATTTTGTCTTTTGGCCAACCGACTATATATATAACGCTTTTTTCTTTTTTTTTCACAATCCAACTATATATAAGCTTTGAGTGAAGAAAAATGTCGAACTTCGAAAATTGCATGCGAAGTTTAGGGTAAAACTGTCAACAATTTTGAAAGAACCTTTTTTATATTTAATTCACATATTTTTAATATTTTATCAAAATGAAATTTTCTCACTTAATAAAGATGGATACTGCATTGTCATGCCAAATGGTGATGTAATTTGATGAGCTAAATTTATATACATATTAATAGAAAATTTTTACTTTAATTTTATTGATATTTGGATGAGTTTTATAAGATTTTGTTTGATTTTACATGGTTTTCATTCTTTGTGCAGGAAATGATTTAATTGGAAGAAATCCTACTTTTTAGAAGTAAATTGAAGATATCAGAGACTTGAGGATCAACTTATGCAGAATCCAAAAGTCAAGAACAAAATCTGCTATTTTACCATTGAAGAAATTGCAAAAGGAGAGCAGAAACCCGACACGGGTGTAGTGTCGACACATGATCGGGGTGTCAACACCACGCGCTAAACGTCCAGAATCAGATTCTGTTTCTTACTTTGTGTCAACACGTAATCCGAAGTGTCAGCACCACGCAATCAGCATCTAAAATTCAGTTTCCTATTTCTATTCCAAGTCCTACTTCTATTTCAATTAGGGTTTCTAAAATCCTATAAATACCCATCCAAATTCAGAATTAAGAGAGCTCTAGGAGGCCTGTGGCAGCCCTCTTTTGGGCATTATTGGAGATCAAGATTGAGGTTCCATCAACAATAGAAGATCAAGAAGTTCGATTTCCTCAAATTGGATTTTGTTTTTCCTTGGGTTTTTATTTATTGTTTGATATTTAAATGTTCATAACTTTGATT